CCGCCGCCTCCCTGGGCAACCTCTGCCAGTGCTTCACCACCCTCATCTTAAACAATTTCTTCCTTATATCCAGTCTGAATCTCCCCTCTTCTGGTTTAAAACCATTCCCCCTTGTCCTGTCGCCACAGGCCCTGCTAAAAACTGTCCCCAGCTTCCTCCTGAGCCCCCTTTAAGCACAGAAAGACTGCCATAAGGTCTCCCCGGAGCCTTCTCCGGGCTGAACACCCCCAACGCTCCCAGCCTTTCTTCAGAGGGATGGAACACCCCTCCTGTGATCCTCCCCCCCCGTTTTTGTGGCCTCCCCTGGCCCTGCTCCAACAGGTCCAATCCCAAGGAAATGAGATCACTTCCAAAGAAATGAAACCCAGGAAGAAATCAAGAGACCACCGAGCAGAATTAAGGGATTGAACCTGGGGATGGGGTGATGGGTGGTATGGGTATCATTGGGGGGGGGTGTGATTTGGGGTAGGGGTCCCTCTCCGGAGGCACCCAGCTCAGTCTGTCACCAGAGAAATAATCAAAGAGGAATTGGAAACTTTCCCTCGGACTTTGCATTCTCAGCCAGATCCCAGGGTCGGACCCTGTGACGGCATCCGGCGTCCGTCAATCCCCTGTTGAACTTGATGATGTTCACACAGACCCACCTCTTGAGCTTGTCTAGGTCCCTCTGGATGGCATCCCTGTCAACTGCACCACTCTTGGTGTCATCTGCAAACCTGCTGAGGGTGCGCTCCATCCCGCTATGTCATTGATAGAGAGGTTAAAGAGCACTGGTCCCAGTATGGACCCCTGAGGGACATCACTGGTCACCCATCTCCATCTGGACACTGAGCCATTGACCCACTCCCATCTGGATGCGACCATCCAACCAATTCCTCATCCACCGAACACTGCACCCATCAAATCCACATCTCCAATTTAGAGAGAAGGATATTGCAGGAGACCATGTCAAAGGCCTTATAGAAGTCCAGGTAGACGACATCGATGTCTCTTCCCTTGTCCGCTGAGGCAGTCACTCCATCTTCTCTTCTTCTGATCTTTTCTTACCGTGGGAGGGAATTTGCTCCCCCAGGCTTGTGGTCTGTCTTGAGAGGTGTGGGAAGAGAGATTGCCGGTGAAGACTGAGGCTAATAATAATTGTGATGAAAAGGGAGATAGAGAGAGGAATAAAACCCAAGAAAAGCCAAGCGATGCATGATACAATTCCTTACCACCCGCTGATAGATGCCTGAGCGGTGATCGGCCCCTCCTGGCCAGCTCCCCCCTCCAGTTTCTATACTGGGCATGACGCTCTATGGCATGGAATATCCCTTGGGCTGGTTGGGGTCAGCTGTCCCGGCCGTGCTCCCTCCCAGCTTGTGCCCCTCCTCGCCGGCAGAGCATGGGAAACGGAAAAGTCCTTGGCTTAGGGTAAGCACAACTCAGCAACAACTAAAACATCCGTGTGGTATCAACAATATTCTTATATTAAATCCAAACCACAGCACCGTACCAGCTACTCGGAAGAAAATTAACTCTATCCCAGCCAAAACCAGGACAGCAGGCTAGGAAGTTTCCTTAACCCAGGCCCCAGGGATGGAGCAGACTTCCCTAAGAGGATCACTGTACTGGTTCCCCTCAGAAGGGAGTCCCCCATGACTTTTCTTCCTCGTGGAAGCGGTCGTGATACAGAGGTTAGGCCTTTCTGACCTTGGCAACACCTCTGGTGTAGATGGATGGTCATCTACATCATCCATCGAAATCTTTCTCCTTCCTCTCGTAGCTCTGCCGCCAGGCTGAGCAGCGCATCCGCTGGGTCCCACCTCGCGGGGCCGTTCTCGCCGCTGCCATCCGTTAATGGTGCGAGGCTCTGGCACTCCCTGCAGCCTCAGACCGGGATGGCTGCGTGTTTTCATGGGAGCTCTGGCTGGGTTGCCACATCCATTCTGGCGAGTGCAGAGGACATGGCTTTCTGCTGGGTGGATACAACCCAGATCTATTTAAATTGGTAACAAGTTCATTTTCCCCAAGTTGAGTTTGTTCTGGCTGGGCTGGTAACTGGTAAGCGACCCCTCTGTCTTTATCTTGACCCGTGGGTTTGCTGTTTGGGGGTTTTTTTGTCCTATTTCCTCACCATTTCCTGTGGAGAGGGAGTGGGTGAGCGGCTGGGTGGGCAGCAGGCTGCTAGTCGAGGGTAACATGGGGCTGCTCCGTGAGCCTCCAGCACATGGGATGCTGGTCTTGAACTGGGAGCTGGTGGCCATGCTGGGGACACCACGTCTGTCCCCTCTGTTCCTGGCTCCGCATCCCCTCGCTGCTGCTCGGAGCATTGCCCAAGGGCTCGATGACTGATCCTGCCCCGGGATTTTGCTGCTTTGTCCTTTCCAGATGTCTCCTCGCTGGACATGGTCCTTGAGCTCCTGAAAGACGCTTTCAACTGCATCAGCCATTGCCCTCCCGGTGCGCTCTACAGCCAGCTCTGCCAGCTCCTGGCTCTGGCCACGGGCAACCAGGACCCCCTCTCCACCGCGTACCTGCTCTCCGAGTCGGTCTCTGTCACCACTCGCCATCAGCTGCTCAGCGTCATCCACAGGAAGATCCAGTGAGTCCCTCGGTCTCCCCTCCCTTCATCCCCAGAGCATCACGGAGAAGGGGCTCATCCAACACCACCAGAGCCCCAGCAAAGGGGATTTTGGGGTGGTTATTCCCCTCCTGACTGCCTTTTCCTCCACAGCAAAGCAAAGAAGTCAGCAGGGGAGGTGACCGAGCAGCTCCGTGGGCTCTCCTTGCAGGATGGGAGCGCTGCCCAGCGCAGCCACCACCTCGCCGAGCTCGAGAAGCTCTTCATGTTCAGCTCCGCAGGGCTGGGGTCTGGGGAGCGGGACAGCTTCCAGACACAGCTGCAGCAGATGCCCAGCGGTAAGGGCTGATGTGAGCCCAGGGACCAGGCAGCTCATCGCCCAGGGAGGGTGCTGAGTTGAAGGATGGTGCCCTTGGGGCTGTCCTTAACGTCTGGGTGCGACTTTCAGGGGTGACTGTGTGCATGTTGACCCTCGCCAGCATCCAACCTGGCTCCATAGGGGACACGCTGCTGCTGACGCGGTTGGAGAAGGGCACGGATCCCGTCACCATCCGGATACCCACCGCGCTCACCAAGGTGAGGGCAGGGATGGGAGAGGGGCAGCTCGGCCATGTTTGGGGCTTGAATCACAGCTCCCTTCCTCCTCCTCCTCCTCCTCCTCCAGGCCCCGCTGGGTTCGGTGCTGAACGACTTCAACACCATCCAGAAGGAGCAGAAGGAAGCCAACAGCTGCACGAGCAAGCAGGACTGGTGGCTGCACCGCTCCGAGCTGGATCGCAGGATGAAGGTGGGGGGAAAACCACCCTCCACCCTGATGTGGGGCATGTTTTGGAGAGCGTTGGGGGGTCTGGACCACCCCCAGTGACTCTAACCTCTTGCAGAGCCTCATCGAGACCTTGGAGACGCAGGTGCTGGGCTGCTGGAGGGGTGCCCTGATCCCCACCGGCCCGGAGCCCGGTCTGGCCGAGGAAGCCGCCCACTTGCACCCCGAACTCTGCCGGTGTGGCTGGAGGGACTCGGATCGCACCCTGCTCAAGGTGCTTAGACTGGGGCAGGATTTTGGGGAGCTGAGCCCCTGCTTTGCCGACGCTCACCTCTTCCTCCTCGCTGCAGGTGGTGCTGAACGCTGCTCCCCTCCTCACCCCCCGCGATGTCCAAGCCTTGGCCTTCGGCCTCTGCCCAGCGCAGCCCCGCAAGGCTCAGCTCCTCTTGCAGGAGGCGGTGGAGAAGCGGAAAGCCTGCGCCAAGCAGACCGGTGGTTCCCTCGTCCTTATTCTAGATAAGGTGAGACCCCTGCTCCTGCTTCACCTCCTCCTGGCTCTGCTGCCTCCCTCCCACTCACACCTTCCTCCTTCTCCTCTTCCTCCCAGCACTTGCAGAAGCTGCCCTGGGAGAGCATGGAGTGCCTGAAGGCTGTACCCGTAACCAGGCTCCCTTCCCTGCGCTTCCTGCTCAGTTACTCCCTGGCACAGGAGGTAAGAGGATGGGGGACCCCG